TAGCATGCTTCTCTACTAGAAAATTTACACAATTTTCATTGCAAACTTTCTGTGCTTTGAATCTCATTTCCCTCTCTCTCGTTCTGATATTGTCTCGAAATAAAACACATTTCGTTGAGTTCGTTGGAACTCCTGCAGATTGCAGTGCTGCTTCCGTAGGAGACGAAAATTCGTACTATCCTGGAAAACGATTGCTGGACGCCTTTAGCACCATTGAAGGCAGCAAATTCGTTTTAAAGAAATATCGTGAAGTCGGTGGGCTCGAATTACAATTTTGGATCTTGTTGATCAATTCTTGCATTCAGGTGATTCTGTCGGATTGTTTTCGAAGGAGTAATTTCAAACTCCAGAAACAACAGCTTTTATTTCATGGTGTGAAGAAAAGTTTGACTATGTTATTTAAAATTCATGTCATAAGATGTGACAAAATTTTATGCTGATTGTCAATATAGTATAATTTCTTTCATTTACTTGAACTTGAGACTGACTATAAATAATATAGGTGAAATCTTGTTATCTAGCATAACCTTTTTCATTTATCAAATTTGGAATCAACTGCACGAGAATTACAAAATAAGGTCTCTTCATTTTTCATTTTGGACGAATCACCAAAAAAATACAAAGCAAAAGACGTCGTAGGAAAGGGACCTGAATTTCAGTTAAGAGTTCAGAGTGGCACAACGGATTTGACCGATTTTGAGGCATTGTTCCAAAACACATAAATCTGAATAACGTAAAGTAAATAATAAAAAGTGAAAAAACAATATAAATATAAATCGAAGGATAAAAGAAGAAAATGGTAGCAAGAGAAAGGGACAGAGATCTCGAGTTTTTGTTACCAGTGGCAGACATCACAGAAATCAAACCACTAGGACCTTGGACCGTGCTAAATGTACATGTACACTCCCCTCAAAAGAGGGAGCCGCGCAATTTTTTATTGGACGCGACCCCCCTCTCTTGTGAGTGGCGTGTACATGGGCCGTGCACATATAGCAAATTTCCTAGCACCTCCGCCTCCTGCGGTGGTTGCTTTGCCCCATGCCCCCACCATACATCCGGCAAAGAGGTCGTGTATCTATTGGAAATAAGAAAAAATATGTTTATTGAGCAATTTTTTGGCATTTATTAATATTTATTTATATGGTTAAATAGATCCTTTTTGCAAGTGAGGGTTTACAAATCCATCAGTGATCTCTCGATACTCAGAATAAATCAACTGGAATTGCTTGTATGTAAGGATAGAAGGAAAAAAAGAAGAAGATTTTGCCAATTCTGAAAATTTCACTATAAAATACTCCTAATGAAACTACGCATTTTTTTTTCCATTCACGTTATTTTATAGTACGAAAAAGTTGAATTGATTTTGTTCCCCACTTCCATTAAAAGATACAACATTAACTGAATGGTTCAATAAAGCCCTTAGTTTTTCTTCGTTGTAGGTGTTCTCCAATCCAAAGTCATTCGCAGCTGGGCTTCAAAAAAGTTCATATCGGGATGGTAATCTTCCGCAGACTCAGCTTCTATTCATGTAACTGTAAGTATTATACCCTAAATCTAATCAATTTTAGACATAAATACTTTTATATATAATTAATACAATTAAATGACAGATTTATTATTTAATTAATAGACAATTAAATAAATAATAGAGTCCGTAGATTCAAATATTTGTAATTTGTTAATCACAAGGAGTTGTGAATATGAGATACAAATTACATCTGATTGAATCTTAAATCATCCGTGGTCGTAAGCAATAACGATATACGGATATCGTTATTATGGATAGACTATCACGTGTGACATTTCTTACTTGTGAAGTAAGTAACTGATCTCACAAGTTAAAGTGTGGTGATACTTAAATGAACACGTGGATGTTTTGTTATAGAACAAAACATTGGAGACCCGTCGAGAGATTCCACATGGATAACTATCTGAGTGTCAGTGGTTAATCTCTAACGTTCGATAGTGAAATTAGTCCTTTGACTTGAAGTTGTCATGGTACCTTATATGAGGACAGTCATAGTTTGGCGGTGTTGGATGTTGCTTTGAAAAGGGCCGCTAATACGACATCGTTCGGGTACGTCAAGAATCGTATGAAGGTTGTGATTGATCAATAAAAGATTCGTCATTCTTAGATAGTAGGAGATTATGATCTGCGTTTCATTCAATTAAGTCAATGATCAAATCCTTGGCCCAAGTGTACTCATAAGTCGAAAAGGAGTTTTCGATTTATATTGACTTAATAGTAGAGTGAAAGATATGATCGATGATCGAGATTGACACAATTCCATATCTCGTAATTGATCGGATCATATTGACGAAGGGATTATAGTTTCACGGTAAACGAACGAATTTGGTTTTGTCATACCACGCGACATTTCCCGTCACATGTATTGCCCTGACACATTGCTAGATGTCAATCAGGGACGGCGAATGTGAATTGACGATAAATTAAAAGGGTGTTTTAATTTATCAATTTTGATTAGATCAAAATAATATTTCACGTCATTAGGTATCGTGGTCGGGAACCTAATGGGTCGCACACAAAAGAGAATTGGAAGATTGTAAATTGTTAATTGGTTAATTTAACAATCGTTGGATAAATTAATTAATTGGATTTGTTATTTATATTCCCGAATTAATTAATTGTATTAATTAATTCACGGACCGGGTTAAATTAATTGGATTAATTAAATATTGGACTGGACCGGACCGGGTCCGTTTGAGTTTATATAAATACATAGTTAGGGTTTGAGGTCCATATGGTTTTCATTATTCTTGCTGGCACAAGAGAAAACCCTAGAAGCTGCAACCTTATTCTCTGTGTGGATCATCGTTGGAGGCTGGACAATTGGACAACTGTGATGGCAAATCAAGATTGATGGAATTGAAAGAAAAGCAGAGAAGTTTGCAGATCTGGAAAATGTACAATCTTATCACAATTTCTATCTAAACACAAAGGCGATTCTTGGTGGGAATCGAAAATTATTTTAAATTTCGCTGTGCATGTATAAGTAGATTCCCAACAGTAACTTCTTATTTTCATTTTATTACCTCCTTCTTATGTTCATACTTGTACAAATTAATGCATATGAAATGTAGTCTGTGTTCGTAGTATTTTGGAATTAAAATTTTCAGGGCATGGCCTGGTTGAGGCATAAGTTCTCTCATTTAGAATACCAGATGAGTTGAAGTACATGTACGTTATGGTGTTCATGATGTACAAGTAGCGTAACATCATTGAAGAGTTAAAAAATAATTTTTCCAACCCTCTAATCATGAAATTCCACGTGTACATTACGGACATTTAGAATTATCCATTAGTTTTTCTTATGCACTAAAATTTGGGGATTTTTGTTTTTAGTGTCATTCTGTTTGCAATTGTTGTTACATTCTACATCACTTAAAGAGTTTTATTCATGCTATGGATTTCTTCTCTCCAGCTCATAATCTTCTGGGAATCAAATTTTTTGGTAAGTAGATTCTTCAAATTCTGCTGCCAAATTAGATTCGAAACCACTGAAGAATTATGTACTGTGTGTGCATTTGAAAGCCTTGACACTACTATTGTAGATAAAACATAAAAAGTACTCTAAAACAACTTACTTTATATTTTAACTTCTTGTGTTCTAATTGATTATTCAACCTGCCTGCAAGTCTAGGATTCATCACTTCTATTATCTTCATCTTCATAGTTGGCATTTTCACATCGTTTTGGATAGGAGCCTCCTTACTTATGCTTTTGGAATGATTAATTAAGAAAAATGTCACTTATAAGCTACATATATTCTGGGGCGGTTAAATGAACTAGACCCATCAATCGTTTAGTGAATAATGTTTTAACATTTGTTTACGTTAATGTCTCGTAGAATATGTTGGCCCATATTTGGCCCCATTTTTTTAAAAACTTATTTTTTCAAAACTCATTTTCAACAGCACATTTGAGGGGAAAAAAAAAAAACTATTCCAAAACTCGTTCCTTCCCAAATTTTCATTAAAATGGAGTCTAAACAAGGGCTTAACTAGGTTGTCTTAATTAAGTATAGAATATTTTAATGTAATTACCTAAGGTCATCTCAAACACTGCATTAAATTTTGCACCAAACCAAAATTCTTCTCTAACCATTACACCAAAAATTATACCAAATGAACATTGTTTTATTATTTTATTCATTCTTTCAATTTTTGACAATGTATTTATTTTAAAAAATTATTTATTTTATAACTATATAAATTACTAAATCATAACTTTGTTAAATTAACAAATATATTGATTACTAAATTATTCACGTGTTTTATATATTATGTTAAATTGACAAAAATAATTGATTATATTATTAATTTTTGATAAACAATTACGTTAAATTTTCAAAAATAATAAATTTTAATAATATAAACTTTATATTAAATTAAACTTTAAACGTAAACTTTATGAATTAAATTTTACGTTAAATTAACAATTACATTAATTATTAAAAATAACAACCTTTAATAATATAATTAATAGTGTAATTAATTAAGTAATAATTATTATCATAATCATCATTATCATTATCATTATTATTATAGAATGAAAATGACACAAATACCCTTAACTATTATCTTTGAAAAATGAAAAATAAGAGCAAAATGGACATTACACCATTTGGTGCAAAAAATGGTACAACGCTATTCATGTTGCACTATTTTGTACTAGAAGTTTGTCCATTGACGATGCCCTAAAAGCTCATATATAAAACAATGAAATAAATTCCCGGTAGCTTTCCATCGTCGTCCAGTGGTTAGGTTGTCTAAATTAAGTTGAACATAATTTAAAGAATAATGGAACAAATCTTACCATCCTTCCATTGTCGTCCAGCGGTTAGGATATCTGGCTTTCACCCAGGAGACCCGGGTTCGATTCCCGGCAATGGAACTTTTTAATTTTTCGAAACGTAGATTTTCAAAAATTCCACGACGCCGTTTGAGTATACTTTAGCAAAACAAAGAATCGCCGCCCAAAAAGCGAGATGCATCAACGTCAGTCAGCATACGCTTTCCCTTCACGCGTGCGATCTTGCCTTTTTTGTTTTTCATTATTAATTTTCTTTTCTGCAGTGCTATTCTGGATCACCTTCACCATCTCTTCAGTATACACTAGAAACTTGTATTGGCTCTTGAATTTATAATTTCATTTGTGAAATTGCATTGAAATCCTTGTAGATGGCGTCATCTTCACTAATCTATGAAACCGGGGCATGGAAGGATTTGAAGGTAAATTCAAAGTTTCACCTTTTAGGATTTTTCGATTTGTTTAGATGTGCGTGTTGACGTAGCATACTTGTGCATTTCCACCAGGCACATGTTGAGGACATTGAGAAGATCCATTTGCGTGATTTGATGTCTGACACCGTGCGATGCAAGTCTATGATCATGTATGATATTCCGAAGTTTGAATTTAAGATCGGGCTCTATGCAGTTACCTGTGTTTATTTATTTCTTATTACTATTTCGTACAGCGATTTTGATGGAGTTTTGTTGGACTATTCAAGGCAACGTGCCAATTTTGACACCTTGAATAAGCTCCACAATTTAGCAAAGGTGAGTTAGAGTTGAAAAATTACTTCTGGGGGGGAATACAGTGTGAAAATCTGATTAATTGCTGTGATGCAGGCAGCTCATCTCAAAGAAAAGATTAACGGGATGTTCAATGGAGAGCGGGTAAGTCAAGGTTTTGCTGAGTTTTATCTCACAGTTCAAACCAAATGTTTGTTAAGTAGGTTATATCTTTGCTTCTGAGTATTATGAAGTTGTTGGGTTGGGGAAACAATGTTTCTGAGTAATTCATTGGTGTCGGGTGAGTGATTATGATTTATGTCATCCACCCGAAAATATAATTTTTCACACCAAGTAACGGCTTCTAAACTTGTTCACAAAATTAATAAGAAAATGAAAAGAAAGTTTTAGGCTTTCTTTGGTTAATAACTTTTCCTACAAGATCTATCTCTTCATTTTTCAAATTGGCCGAACTTCGTTCATCAGTTTTTCTGGCATTTGTCATCTAACACTTACTCCTTTGGTGGCTTCTTCAGATAAATAGTACAGAAAACAGGTCTGTCCTTCACATTGCACTCCGTGCTCCACGGGATTCAGTTATAAATAGTGATGGGAAGAATGTGGTCCCAGATGTTTGGCAAGTCCTAGATAAGATCCGAGATTTTTCTGAGAGGGTTCGCAGTGGTGCCTGGGTAATTCTGTCATCAAATATGATCTTTATCAGTTTTGTCAGTTTCACGATGTCATTATATTAAATTGTCTGAAAAAAATGGTAGGTCGGAGCCACTGGAAAAGTGTTGAAAGATGTAATTGCTATAGGAATTGGTGGAAGTTTCTTAGGACCTCTGTTTGTGCATACGGCACTTCAAAAAGGTTGATAAGATGCAATTGCAGCATATTTTAATCCTATAACAGTTTCCTATTTCCTTTTTCTAATTTCCTTTTTCTATTGTCATTAATCATATGTCTACAAACGATTTCATAGCTCATTTAACTTAAATTTGATGGCATGCAGATCCAGAAGCTATTGAATTTGCACGTGGTCGTCAACTGCGTTTGTAAGTGTAACTATATTGCCTGTTGATTTAGTGTATCATTTATTTCTATAGCATTGCTGGCCTAATTTGGTATTTTTATTTTCATTAACCAACTTTAATTTGATTTTTGGAAGTCCTGCCTCTGATGCTATATTTAGCAGAATTTTAATTGGGACCTTTACTCAAGCTAGTATAGAAATCCCAAAATCTTTCTCAAAAGAGTATTTGACATTTGGATCTGGACTATCAGTTTATCATGTCATGGATATGAAAGCCTGCTAAGTCAAATTTTTTTAATTAAATAAACCATATTTTTTAGGTACTTGCATGCGAAGTAAAATGTTGAAGTTCTAGCAATGGTTATCATCATGTTGATCTTTGTGCATTGTGAAGGGGATTCTAGTTCTTTTCTCCCAAAAATAGCTCTCTCATTTCCCCTTTGTGTTGGGTGGGTAGGGTTTCAATGCAACTTCAGATAAATCATTCATGTTGGAAAGGTACTTTTGGACTTGGTCTTTCTTCGTCTGTTTGGGTAGATTGCTGTATATTACCATTTTAAGTGTTTGGATTTATGATCCAACGTCCAATTCAATTCTTTGTTGATGGGTTGCATTAAATCTGGAACTGATAATTACATTTTTTAAGAGATAAAACATTAATGGACCTCATGAACTTCGCCCATGCACTGAAGTATGCAACTATAACGATTTACTACTATTTAGCTGATTGTACTCCTTTTTTTCTTGTTTAAGCCTTGCAAATGTAGACCCAATTGATGTTGCAAGAAATATTGCAGGCTTGAATCCTGAAACCACTCTAGGTATCTCTGTTTTCATATTGTCTTGTTTTTGCCTTGTAAGGCTTTATGGACAAAATTTGTTCAGCTCCTGGAATTTTAAAACCATTTTTTTCCCTTTGCATCGTAATCAATTGCAGTTGTGGTGGTTTCGAAAACTTTCACTACAGCTGAGACCATGTTAAATGCTAGGACACTGAGGGAATGGATATCAGCTGCCTTGGGGTGAGTAAATAATAGGAATAATCTCTATTTGCTGTTTTTTTTTTTAATGAAATTACTCTTCCACACTAAACAGGTATATCATAATTCCTGC